TAACGCCTCAAGTTGGCACAGATGGGGTGGCAGGGGTCGAGTAAAATATGTGAACCAGAGAGAGGGCAGAAGGATCTTACGGGGCAAGAGAGAAACTGTGGTAAGACCTAGGGCAGGAGGATTGCGTAACAATATTGCAGATTCCGATCAACATTCCCAGCACACGGATGAAGGGCGGTGAGAAGGCCAGCGTGGAGTGTAGAGAGTTCTCATGAAAGCCGCTAAAAAAAGGGCACCGACCACATTTAATTAAACAAGTAGAATATTGTGACAGTGAAGACGTGATTGGAGGATAAAGGAAATGTAAATAGGCCAGGGCAGAAGGGGAGATACCACAACTGTTTAGCGCACGTTTGGTCAAAGAATCGGCTTCACTTGTCTCTTTGTCGAGTTGTAATATACTGCTACGAATGATAGAACTCACTGACGAGGCAGGCGAAACGTATGGGAATGTACCTCGTCCACAGTCCGACTTTGAAATAATTGCGCATACAATGGACCCAGGACAAGGTGACTTTTTATAAGTCTTCCTATCATTATGACCAAGTTGCGAAAACAAGGTCAAACAACTTCTATTATCATTATTAATTTTTTTATTCCTTTATTTCATTTTTTTGTTCCTTTATCTGTTATAATCTCTCTGTGCTCTTCTTATTCTTAACAAAGTAACGACAGATATTTTTTGATAGCTTTTAGGTTTCTGAAATTTACTGAGATGAAAAAATTTATCGCTATTTTTCAGAAGTTTTTCGTAAACGATATTTCCTGGATCTGACGATTGATGTTACATAATACAAAAAAGCTTAGCGTATATTTCTCTCGGAAGTTGAGCTGATTACTTATTTGCACTGTCTAGCTGTCACAACACAGGCAATTCTCTTGTACCGGTGATTCAAATTTTGGAATCCTTTTTATCGCCCCTTAAACCAAATTAAACGTACATCATCATCAATCAATTCAAGGGCTGTTCTAGACCCAGCCTCTTTTAATTTTGTAGAGTTATTTTATATTTTTTCTTTTCTTTAGCCTCAAATACTTATTATGGTTCTGACTAATTTTCATTATTTTTTTCATAGATTCATCTGATTGGCATCTCCCCCCACCGTCTCCTGTTATACTAGGTGCAATCTATCTTTCACATTGGTATTATACACCAGCCAGTGTCGACGCCATCTCTCGTGCTTTCAACGCTCAGATTGAATCACGTGAGGAGGGACTCGTGGTTAAAGCGGCTCGGCTACCGGGCTTCCGACACTCCTCCATTGTGGCGGGTGATCCAATGCAGTTGCAGTTGAGCAGGATAGACGTCTCCACCATCGAAGGCGAGGAATCCACTTATAGCGCTCAAGATAGTGATGAAGATATGGAGGATGCTGGAAAGGCATTGGATGAGGATTTTGGCTACAGTGCTTATTATCCTGGAGCTCGACTTCGGGCTGGGTGGTGGAAACTGAAACCCGATTATGTCCTCCAACTCATGGATGACTTCGACTGTTTACTGGTAGGAGCTTTCCTGTCTCCATCGACAGAAAGGCAACAAATGGCCAGTATGGGGGCAGTGGGCAATGCCATTCGTCGGTCATGTGGGGGTCCTATCATAAGCCAGTTTCTATGCGCAGTGAAGTTGAATGAGACAAACGAGACGTCAGATAATATACACACTTTCCTTTCTTTCTGTCGTGTAAGCATATTGACCTTTGCCGATTTAATAAATTTATTACTCAAATAGTATCTGAAGTCATTTTCCGCAATGTAAAAACATTATAACATTTTCGCCATATAAATATTATCATAATCATTTATTATTTGGTTAGTGAATGCTAATTGTGATACTTTTTTAAATTACTTCTTTTGGACCTATTGAAATAGATTGCTAGGTATTTTATAATAGAAATATGTGGAACCTGTCCTTGCTACTTACAGTAATGCTTATTTATTTGTCTATAATGATGTATGATTGATGTGTTTGAACTGTCTCTCATGTCTGTTTCATTCAACAGCAAAAACAGGACTACACTTAGGTTTAGACATAAGTTCATCTATGTAGCAAGTCATTATCCAAGATCTTGTAGTTTCGACGCCTACTCATTCACTATGTATAAATGAACATTGTCTAAACTTGAATATAATCTTGATTTTACTGTTGCATATATAAATAAATAAATAAATAAGCAAATATATAATATACCATCGACTGGAATAATATATACAAGTTTACCTTATCGATACATACTATTATAAATGATACTAGTATGGCCTACCCTGCCCTGTGAGCCACTGGCACCCGTAGTTTTGTAGCCGAGTGGTGACCTTGTCATGACGCGCATGACCCAGTTCTTAATATTGTCTAGGGTCCTTTCATATTGGATAAAGGGACATTTCCTAGAGCATGGATAATTGAAATTCAAAAGCATCACGATCTCTATTCATTTCATAGTAAGACATTTTTATTTTGTAGTTAATTTTATTTACCAAAACTATACACTAGGTACTATGAGTATTTTTTATGGAATATTTTGCAGAGGCAGCATTATGATTTATTATTGTGAAAATGCTCATCAGTTAATAGAGGCGTTAAATCATTGCTGACACCACAACTAGTGTCATGTAAATAAGACGGTCCTCCTTTTAGCCGGTTGAGCATCATGACGCAGTGAAATATGCCCAGCTCATGAATTTTCAACTGTAGTGCTGCTGCTTGGTGAAAATCAGTAAATCTCTTGAAAATAGTTTCTAATTTTGCTTGCTATAAAATGCATAATTTAGCATCAGACAGAGCGTTGAACTTATGTTCCAATAAGGATTTATAGGTATAAACTCAATTCCATCGGCGAGTTATTTTTATCTCGTTTTTGTAACTTCGTCAAGGCGGCG